GGGAAAATATAGTAATAATGACCGATGATAACTAAGGCTGGAAAGCTATACTGTTGCTGCATATTAACTTGGTAAAGTGGTTTAATTCATCAGTTTTTTAAATACTCCATCACAGAAATCTCCAATTCTCCGATATATGAAAACACACATATTCTGCTGCAACGCTTTGCTTCCTTTATCAAACAAAATGAAGTTTCTTTTCAGAGCACCCTCTCAAGCATGGTTTAAGTCCCCTCATCTCACACTTTCGACAAAGTTCGAGAACACTCCTCTGTCCCCAGATTGAGTCACCTTTAGCCTGCAATGGCAACGATAAGAACAGATCCTTCTGCTCAAACAGGAAAGACACAACTGAGCGTGTTGGACTTCAGGGCCAGGTCCGATTCTACAAGTCATTCCAGAGACAGCGTGGAAGATGCAATTAATTTAGTGTTTTGAAATGAAAGGTGATTAGCATCTCTCAACTGAGATCTAAGCACCCTCTTTAAACGAGGAGAGTCCCTTTAAAACACCAGAAGCTGGGTGTGGGCAGGCTTTATCTCTCCTCGGCTCTCACTACCGGGCTCCCTCCAACAGCGCAGCGCTCGGCTCCCTTTGCAGGGCAAGGCTGCCCTTCTCCACACCGGCTCTCGGATCGCTTCTGAGCAACGTCGCTGGCAAGCGGCGCTTCCTCCCACGGCATTAAACAGGGTGAGCTCTGCCCCGTCCTCAGGGAACCGGTCCCACAAGCCCACCACAGCAACCCCACTGGAGCCGGCTGCAGAAAGCCTTAACCAGGGCTCCTCAGCTGCCAAGAGGCTCCTCCCCAGGCTGCCCCAGCACTGGGGGCACGGTTGGGGGTTTATACGTCTTTGAATTAGGAAGGCACCCTCCCCAGCTTCCGAGCCCCCTCAGGGCAGCCGCAGCCCCGCAGCCCGTCCCTCCAGCCACCGGTTACCTCGTCCAGGCCACAGCCGCGTCCTCACCCGTCTGAGGGGAAGGGAGGCGGTGGCAGAGGCAGCCCCGGCCCGCCACGGCCGGGCCAATGGCGGCGCCGCCTCCCTCAGAGCGGGGCGGGCCCTGCACCTCCCAGCCCGGGCCGCAGGCGTGTCCGTGCCCCCCGTACCTGAGGGACCGGGCTGGTTGGAGGCTGTCCTCGGTGCAGCGGGAGCCCCCGGGGCGGGTTTAGCGGGCACTTTCTGGGCAGAAGCTCGCAGAAGCCGGCTCACACCGCGGTGTGAAGTCCCTCGTGAAGTCCATATCGGCTTGACTTGCCCCTCTGCCCTGAGGTAAAACAGCCAGTCCTTCACTTTACCTGGTGACAGGCAACCATTTCAAAGAGGTTGTGAACGCACGCCCCTGTTTGCAGTAGAGATACGGGTATTGATAACGGAGGTTTCAGTCATCTGGAACGCCGCTGTAAGCGCTTTTCTGTTTGATTAGTGGCACAAAATACACATGCCGCCATTGCAATGGATGTTTCAGCAGGACCTTCAGCAGCCAAGGCACCAGACTGAAGCCAGAGGAGTCCCTCTGGGAGCACAGTGATGGCACCGACCTCCTGTGATGAGGAAAGCCGGCCTGGTGGTGTGTTTATAGCATCATAGAATCAACCAGGTTGGACAAGACCTCTAAGGTCATAAAGTCCAACCATTACCCAAGCACTGCCAAGGCCACCACTAACCCGTGGTACTGAGGGCCTCATTTACACACTTCCAGGCATGGTGACTCCAGCACTGCCCTGGGCAGCCTGTTCCAATGCCTGAGCACCCTTTGGTGAGGAATTGTTCCTCAGCTCCATCTAAACCTGCCCTGGTGCAGCTTGAGGCCGTTTCCTCTTTCAATCCCTGAATCCTAGATCATAGAGTCATAGAATAGTTAGGGATGGAAAGGACCTTACAATCATCTAGTTCCAAACACCCTGCCACGGGCAGGGTCACCTCGCACTAAACCACGTCACCCAAGACTCTGTCCAACCTGGTCTTGAACACTGCCCCAACTTGGGCAACCCATTCCAGTGCCTCACCACCCTCACAATAAAGAACTTCTTCCTTATATCATAGAATCATAGAATCATAGAATAGTTAGGGTTGGAAAGGACCTTAAGATCATCCAGTTCCAACCCCCCTGCATTGGGCAGGGACACCTCACACTAAACAACGTCACCCAAGGCTCTGTCCAAACTAGACTTGAACACCGCCAGGGATGGAGCATTCACAACCTCCCTGGGCAACCCATTCCAGTGCCTCACCACCCTAACAGGAAAGAATTTCCTTCTTATATCCAACCCAAACTTCCCCTGTTTAAGTTTTAACCCGTTACCCCTTGTCCTGTCACTACAGTCTCTAATGAAGAGTCCCTCTCCAGCATCCCTATAGGCCCCCTTCAGATACTGGAAGGCTGCTATGAGGTCTCCTAAATCATCAGTACGGGCTTCCTGCTAACCATAAATTCTTTTGTTTCCCCTCCTACTCAAACTTGGACATGGTGAAGCAAATTATTGCTTTTTAGAGAAAAATTAGTAAACATGGTGTTGGTATAAAGGTGTGGTAAATTATGTGTCTTTTCAATTTCATGTAGTTCATATGTGGCCCTTCCTGATGACAAATCAGCGACTGGATCATGCTTTTTGCGGTAAAATTCTGGCTCAACCAGCCTTTAATAAGGCTTCCACTCAGTTTACAAGGATCAAAGTGAAACGGAGACCTTGTGAAAGCTTAAAACTTGGTTTCTCCCTGCAATAATCTTCATTCAAGCGTCTCTCATCCACAGATCCTGTTTATTCATCCTAATGCAGCATGCTAAGCTGTATGTGTTCAAACCCACACCAAACTCCTGTTCAGTGCAGAACAAGAAACACCATTTCGTACATTAATTAGAAGTGGGGTCCTTTTTGCCATTCTTGGTCCATGGCATGGAACATATTTTCCTGTTGTGTTAAATATCTCTTTTCTTCCCCACCCGCCCACCCCCAGCAGTCCCAAAGAAGAAAGAAGACAGCGGTAAAACAGCCTTTTTACACCAGACACACTGTATTAGCTGGTATGCTTGGCCCCTGCCGGATGGAAATGGAACTGATGTTCTGTTTTGTCCAAACCCTTTAAATAAGAACTTCGGACCCAAGCATAGAGAAAAGCAGGTTCTTGCTGCTAGGAAGCTCCAGATGGCAAAAGCCTCAAGCACTGACACAAGTGTCAGCTGTAGAACTGTGTACAGGGTGTGTGCTGTGTCTGTTAGAATGTGTTCTCTCCTATAATATTCATTTTAGTGATTTGTTCTTGAGATGGATTCAGATGAAATCTGTGGGATTACATACACGAGGGCTGTCCCAGGTCAGACTGACCGCCAGTTCATCACTTGAGTGTTTGCAGCAGAGACTGAAAATGCCTGAAAGATGTGAATGGTGAGGACTCATACTGGTTTGTCACTTCATACAAAGAGTCTGCAACCAGTTCACAGCCTGTCCCCATGGTTGCTCTGCACTAGTGTATTAAATCTGGAGAATCTAACTCGGATGCCACTGATTCAGCCTGGAGAAGAGAAGGCTCCTTAAGGGGAGACTTTAGAACAGCCTTCAAATACATAAGGGGGGCTTACAAGTAAGCAGTAGAGGGCCTGTAGGGATAGGACAAGGGGGATGTCTTTAAACTGACAGAGGGGCAATTTATATGAGCTCTTAGGCAGAAGCTCTTCCCTGTGAGGGTGCTGAGGCGCTGGCACAGGGTGCCCAGAGAAGCTGTGGCTGCCCCATCCCTGGCAGTGTTCAAGGCCAGGTTGGACACAGGGGCTTGGAGCAAGCTGCTCTAGTGGAAGGTGTCCCTGCCCGTGGCAGGGTGTTGGAACTGGATGAGCTTTAAGGTCCCTTCCAACCCAAATCATTCTGTGATTCTACGATTCCATTACTGTACTGATATTTTCCTGGCTGGTGTCTTTGACCACATCACCTCTTGCTTTAGATCCACTGTTTGTCTCCTGGGCCTCAAGCTCTTTTCTTCCCCTGTAGACCCCTCTGCACTGTTAGGTTAAGTGATAAAAGGCTCTTTTCCATACACACAAAGGAAGGCTGAGGAACAACTGTATGCGGAGAAGTCTCAGCATCACCCTGCCTGTCTGCTCCCAAGCCCATCACAGGATCTCTCAGCCCAGTAAAGGTTCATCCTCACACACACAAATGAGCACAGATGCACAAGGGCATGTCAGGGAGCCCAAATACCCTCTTTGAAGGCGCCACCATTCCCAGGACTGTCCCAAAGGACCTTCATCAGCTTACAGGCTTGGGGGGATCGCTGGCTGTGGGGTGGAACACATGGTGGGGTGCAAGGGAAGAGGATTTTCAGATTACACAAGAGCTGCTATGGGATACTCAGGAAACGAGCTAACGGTGGGGAAAAAGGAGCCCCAGGACCCGCACCACAGCTCTGTCCCCTGGGCTGCCCGCGCTCTCCTCGCTGAGCCGCGCTCTTTACGCGGGCCTTTCCCCGGCGGCAGATCCCGCGCGGCCCGCCAGAGGGCGCTGCTGCACCGCGGAACGCGCCTATGGGCGGGGCGAGGCTCCCGGTTGCCTTGGCGACCGGCGGCTGTTGGCGCCGCTGCGGGCGGAGCGCGGCGGGGCCTGGCTGAGTGCGGGCCGGGCACCGGTAGCGGCGGAGCCTCGAGGGGAGCGGGACAGCGTGTGGGTGCTGTCGGGGTACGGGTGGGACCCGGGGACGAGGGGCGGTGTAGCCTCGGAGGGACCGGGAGTAGGGACAGCGTAACGTGCGGTGGTGACAATTTAGGCCTTGGGGTGCTGAGGGCCATGAAGGAGACTTGGATGTGAGTGGTGGTAGGGTGAGGGGAGACACTCCAGAGCTTGACTGTGTAGGGAATTATTTGGACGTGGGTGCTCAGAGTGTCAGGGGATAGCACAGGACGGCGGCTTGGGTATAAGGTGACAGCGGCAGCGGGGTCTGGTGGCTGCGGACAGGGAGGCTCTGGCCACTGTGAAGTTTTTGGTCACTGGCGATGAAGGGGCAGTGGGGAATGCAAGGGACATGCAGGAAGGATTGCGTAGGAAGGGATTGAGGGCAGAGGGAATCATTAGCCTCCTCTGAAGACCAGGAAGGGGTTATGGTGTGGCTGCAGGGTGCTGAGGTAATTACTGATGGGCACTGAGGGAGTGGAGGCTACTTGAGTGGCAGCTGCTTGAGATACAAGGGAGTAATGTGAGTGTATGTGGGATCTCCTTGCTGCTTCTAAGGATGTCCTGGCAGTGCAGTTATCAGTTGTGAAGGTGCTGGTAGTGATAATGGGGATCTGTCATAACCTATTTGGGAGAAGAAATAGATCTTGTGCTCTGCCAATGGTTTAAATCTGCAGACAATGCTCAGTCCCCCCAAAAAAACATTCCCTTCTCTCATATGTATTTTTGGTGTCTTGCAAAATCCAGCAAATCTGTTATTAGAGTATGGTTTTGTTGCCTTGTACAGCTTGGAGGCTTTCTTGTTGCTCCCTGTACAGGAAGAATTTAATAAATACATCACTGGAGCTCATCTGGGGCTGGAGTGCCAAGAAAAACCCAAAACCTTTTCAAAGTACTGCTGCTCAGACTGATTCAGTTAGTGCCCAGCTTTAGGGGGGAGATTTGATTATCCATTTACTGTAAGGGACAGAAAAAATCGTTATTAATAACAACAATAATTCTTCAGAGATTGCTGTACTGATCTTACATTTCTGAGGAAAATCAGTAAAGTAAATGCTCAAGTGAATCAATACCAGTCCAGTTAATTCTGTGCTGAAGAATGACAGATTTATTGTTATACTTAAAGAATGCATCCTGCACTTGTGCATTTGGGCTGGGAATTTTAAGGGGATTTGTGGAAGCCAAGTACCAAAATTCCTTTAGCAAACAGCCTGTACCAAAATTCTGAGTTATTTTTCTTAATTTACTTGGCCTCCTTTTAACATCTCAATCTTACAACAGTTGTGTGTTTAGGATGTTTAAAAGTTCCATGAAAAATATCATATTGAATTGGTATCTGCAAAGGTTGTGTATAAATATTAAGGACTTAACATGGCTTCAGGCTCAAGTGGATGCTCAGGTAGGAAAGGATTTGTTCTTGGATTGGTAAATGTCAGGTTTACTAAGTCACTTGGTGATGGTATTGAAGTTTCACAGTAAAAACATTTTACTAACGTGTAGCAACTATTAAAACTTTGACCTGGGATGTTTCAGAAGTTCAAGGTATTGCTGGTGGGAGTCAGAAGTTTCCAGATTTCTGCAAATGGAATTAGCGGTATTGGTGACATAAATATGCAGGGGGTACAAAGACAGTGATTAATAGCTCTAGGCAATTATCCCTGAGTGTGAACTTCTCTTCAGCAGGAGAACAGGTAAAATCTGCACAAGCAGGTTTCCAGCAGAGTGGGAGTAAAATTCTTCTGGATAAAACATCACAAGAAAGATATTCCAAGGTGTGAGGAGCTGCATGCAGATATAGACTCCAAGGTATGTTTACCCTTTCTTTCACTTCCCTTGCAGAGCTGCCTCACAGTGAGCATTCCTCTTACACACCTTTCTGTGCCACACAGCTTACTGCCCTCAGCCCCCTCACTTGTTTCAGCAGCAGGCATCAACTGCTCATCTAGGGTAGGAAGTTATTTTGGATACAGAAAGCCGACCTTGCCTTGCTTCAGGGCCAGCCTATGGATTAGAGTGCATCTGTCAATAGTCACTTTAACTTCATTCCCTTGATTTTACATCGATTTGGCAAGCTTGTTATGTGGCTTTCCATGGATTTTTTTTTCTGTTTCCTTGGGCTCATTTAAATTGGAAAAGTATCCAGCCTGCTGTATTTAGTCACAGTTACTACTTTAGTTACTAGTTATTCTATTAGTTGTTTTCAATTTTAGCTATTAGAGTGATAACTGTTAGAAAGCAGAATTTGAAGGCAGAAAAGTAGTTTAATATGAAAACAGGTTACGTAAAATGTTTATATTCATTCAGTAATAAAACCTCCCATGTTACATGAACTAATCTGGTTCTGGCATTTGATCACATGACCACTAAAAGTGAGTAATCTTCATAAATGCCCTTTTTTTGGTGACTTTTATTTTATATAATATATGCTACGAGTTCCATTACAGAACTGTTCATTGTCAGTGGAATCCTGAGGTTGGCAGTTGTGACAACATGCCCAGGGAATACTGCTGACATGCACAGCCCTTCAGAGAGCGGTTTTGTTCCAGCTCTGACAATGAAAACTGAGTTGCAGTGAAAGGCAAATATTCATAGTGCTAGGAGAACAGAAGGAGAGGGAAAGAGATGCATATTAACAAGGGTACTCGATAAAAGAAGCCTAATAAAGAAACACAGACAAAGGACTGGAAAAGGAACAACTGCTTGTTTGATTTGCAAGAATGTAAAACCTAGTAACTACTGGCAGAGGCCACTGTTCTCCAATTCAGGGCAACACTTCAGGATGTCATAAAACCGAGGGCCCGAGTGCTATCCTGGGCAGGATTATTGCTGTCAAAAAGCCCCTCTCTTGTTTTGTTTATTTCAGAACAGTTAGGAACTTGTCACAAGTGAAAAAGTCTGGTGAACATATGACATTTTAGAAATCATTAATTTCTCTTTATTTTTCCTTCTTTTCTGCTTGCGCTTACCTCCCTTTTAGGTCTAACTTCTAGCACAAGTGAACCAAAAAGCATGGAAGAAAAGAAGAAAGAGGAGAAACCAGAAGAGCAATTTACAGACCCTGAATCAGCTGTCCCAGAATCCTTACTAGAGTTTCAGTAAGAATTAAGATTTTTTTTTTTTTAAGATATTTAACTTTTCATTAATATAGAATATGTGAATGGATAAAGCAGATAACAAAGACAACTTTTCCAGTTCAGAGCCTGAGCTGACTGACTATATTTTTCTTTCTTTCTTCCTCTCTCTTCTCTTTCCCTCTTGCTCTCTGTCCTCACCTCTATAATTTGTAACTTCTCTGTAACACTTGACTGAACAAGCAGCATAATCATAGCATCATAGAATGGCTTGGGGTGGAAAGGACCTTAAAGTTCACCCAATTCCAACCCCCTGCCACAGGCAGGGACACCTTCCACTAGACCAGGTTGCTCCAAGCCCTGTCCAACACTGCCTTGAACACTTTCAGGGATCATACAAGTGAATCTGTCACATTCTGCTTTAGGAATTATCAAGTGTGTATATTTATTTAACTTTCATTCCTGCTTTTTCTTCTGTATATTGAAGCATGGATTCTGTAGGGAGTTTGTTATTTTGCAATTCCATTACAGACTACTGTTGCAGGATTGGTTAGGAACAATAGTCCCATGAATTACTTTCCTTAGTAACATCCTATTGATGACTGGCAAAATTGTGGTAGTGGAGTGTTGCTTCTGGATGTTTCAATCATCTAGATGGAATCTGCTACACAGAGTTGAGAAAAACAGTATCATCAGTCTAACTGGTTTGTAGCTTTCACCTGAGAAATAACATAGCACTATAATCTAAAGAGGAAAGCTCCAATATGTATCAGAGAAAATAGCAAATTGTACTCATATAATTTTTCTTACATTAACCAGGTGATGGATACAGACTGTCACTTCATGGAAAATATTAACGTTGCAGAAATGAAGACCATAGCAGTATTCTAGCTACAGAAATGGTTTAAAATGGCAGGTCATTTAGGAGGTAACACTGTGTGGCCAAGCTGTCACCTCTGCCTAATGAGTGATAGATTTTTGCTGTAGCCATATCCACATATCTCTGCTCTAGTGTCTCTAACTAATATCCTTGTACTTATTGGAAAACCTGAAGGATACCGTGGAACTTATTGGCACTGGAGGATGCAAATCTAGTAACCTTCAATGACTGAGTGATTCAAACTTAGCCAAGAAAAAAATATCTTCTTTAAAAATAACTTCATACAATAGGGAGGGGTCAAAAACCAAAACCCCAAAACAAAACTACAAGGAAAAATAGCTGTTGAAACAGTAAAAGATACTGTGATAACTGTAATATTTGCTCTATTGTGCCATTTGGTGAATGAATTCTGGGATTAGAGGGAAAGATTATAGAGAATTTTGCAAATAGACACCGTTTGCAAACCAGTGTTTCTCATTCTAGAAGAGAGAATACAAAAAAAATGCTTATTTTACAGCTGTGGCAAAGAGGATGACAGGTAGTCTATGAACATTGTGAAAGCAGCAAGCTAGTTCTCTGACAAAAATGTATAAACATACTCAGAGGATACTACTCAGGCTGCAGTCCCTATTCCCTTAGTGCTTCTTAAAGGCTGACAATTTCTTAGTGTACAAATGCAGGTTATGAAGCTCAACAAGCCACATTTCCAGAAGAATTGAATCCCATTGAATTCTCCAGTTTGGGATTCAGCTGAGCTGTGTCTGACTGAGTTGCCTCTGTAGCAGAGAAGTAAATATTTCTGGAGCACAAACCATCTTGTCCTGAAAGAGACCTCTGTGATAGGTCAGCTAAACTGCACCCAGAGAGAAGAAACCAGCTTAATCCTCTCTAGCGGTTACAAAGGAACAGAATAATCAGGGATTCTGTTTCTATGAAGGTCTAGATGTATATGGGAAATAATTTCTTTATGTGTAGTAAGCAGACAGTGGTATCTACCCAGGTGAGTCGCAATATGATACACAAACATTTCAGTTGTATTTACATCTAACCTAGTTTAAATAACATTCCTCTCCTGTTTTTATAAGGATGTCTCTTTACTCTTTTTCTGCAGAATTGAGGCAAAAGAAGAAGCAATTGATAAGGTTTTGCTTGCTTTGAAACAACTGGAAGAAAAGAACAAAGAATATTACGAAAGAGTAAGTGGCCATGCATCCTTCTCCCAGCGCATTTTATATGTGGTATTTTAACTCACAGATTCAATTTTATTCTTTTAAGCCTAATACTACATTGACTAAAATTAGCCCTCACAGTGAATTTCTTACAGTCAATGAAACTAGAGTTAGGAAGTGCTGAAAGTTAAAGTGTTATCTGAATTAAATGCGACATAAAGCATAAATGTCCTAAATATGCAAAAAAGGAGCTGCAGGAGTAGAGCATTGCAGAATAGGGCACAGCACTCAGGTAAAGTGAGTTCAGTGAAGGTGTTCTCCAATCTAGATTTAAATTAGATATAAGGAAGTAGTTCTTCCCTGTGAGGGTGGTGAGGTGCTGCACAGGGTGCCCAGAGGAGCTGTGGCTGCCCCATCTCTGACAGTGTTCAAGGCCAGGTTGGATGGGGCTTGGAGAACCTGCTGTAGTGGAAGGTGTCCCTGCTTGTGGCAGAGGACTGGAACTAGATGAGCTTTAAGGTCCTTCCCAGCCCAAACTGTTCTGTGATTCTATGATTCTATCAATGCATGTGAGATCCTCAGTAACTACTTAAGTATTTAATCTTACTCTGCAGCAAACACAGGTCAGCAGCCCCCTTTCAGTAGGTCACTGTGCAGCAGTATCTTCAGATGTGCCTTTTTAAACAATACTGCAATATTTCAGCATACAAAGAATAAACAGTATTAACTTCATTTCTGTCAGTAGTATCAGCAGATCTAACCAAGTATTGAGATTTGCTGACCTTTGATTCATTTCTGAGGTCATGGAATTGCACAGGTTTCTATGAGAGCTTACTGATTCTTGCAAACTTAGTTACAGTGAAAACTGAGCAAAAGAGTGAGTATCATGCAGTTGTCGAGGTGCAGTTTTTGGCACTGCTTGGTGAAGACTCACTTTCCTGTGGATTAAGATTTGGTTTGGGTCAATTTTAGAACAAGGTTATGTGACTATTGGTGGCACCTGAGTGACACTTTAAAGAACTGTATATATGAACTGTATATAAAGAACTTTAAATAAAGAACCATAATATGGCATCTGATGACTGAGACAGTGGATTTTGAAAGTAGATATATAGTTACCTAATGAAATAAATAGCTCAAAAATCCTTAAACTGGATTATGTGATTGAACACTGTTGCAGGCTGCACCACTTCCTATAGCAAGAAAAATGTCTCTTTAGCCCTCCTATGCTGATACTTGCCCTGTATCTGTTCAGATCTCTGTTTAGTTTTCCTTGGTGTTACTTTCTGTCTTGAAGCATGGATGGTGTTTCATTTGTGGCCTTAACTATCAGTGGAAGTATCATTTGGCTCTTCTCCCTGCAGACATCTGAAGTCTCTTATGGTTCTTCCCCCAGTTTGCTGCTAGTTCATGGTCTCACAAGGACTCCTTCGTATTCTAGGTTGTGCAAGGTACTTCAGGGCATACTTGAAGTACTATTTGCTTAATTTACCTATGTTTTGACAGTTCTTTGAGCTCCATCCTTTATTTCCTTAGTGATATTGTGTGGTTTAGAGTTCATCCATCCAGAAGTGACGAATGCTTGAGACTGTGTACTGAACAGTCACTGTTACAGTTATGGTATCCTTTGAGAGCAAACATATTTGAAATTACTGACCATGTAACTTGAGTGCCCCTTGAGAGGGCCAGGGTAAGGGGTTATAATCACAGTTGTGGAATCAGTCAGTATAATTAATTTCAGCTCTTTGCAAGACTCTCTACTATGGGTATATGAAAGTGACCTGCTTGACTGATGACATTTCTACCTGAAGTTGGTACATTCTCATCAAGAATGAATGTGAAGTAAATAACTCCTACAAATAAATAGTTATTAAGCTGACCCACAGGAGTTCTACAAGGGTACCAGAAAGAATCTATGACTATTGATGTTCTGCACCAAGTCCAGCAGTCATTTGTCTCTCATTTCCTTGTAATAGTCTTCAAGACTGAGGAAAATTCTGAGACTTGCACACTCTTCCTTCTGCTCCACCCTTTTTGAATATAGGATCATAGAACAGTTAGGATTGGAAAGGACTTTGAGATCATCCAGTTCCAACCTCCCTGCCATGGGCAGGGACAACTTGCACTAGACCATGTCACCCAAGACTCCATCCAACCTGGCCTTGAACACTGCCAGGGATGGAGCATTTACCAGTTTTCTGGGCAACCCATTCCAGTGCCTCACCATCCTCACAGTAAAGAACTTCTTTCTTATATCTAACCTAAACTTCCCCTGCTTAAGTTTGAACCCATCAGCCCTTGTACTATCACTACGTTCCCTTAATGAAGAGTCCCTCCCCAGCATCCTTGTAGGACCAAGATGAGGAGATACTTAGCCGAGTGGTTTTGCAGTGCATCCTGGCACTGGGTCAGATTTTACTTTTCTTCACTACTTACACTTGTCACTTTGAAAACCAATTTGAAACTGGTTTTATATATGCTTTTTCTTCTGCTCTTTCATAGCATGAGCTGCTGAAGAAGGAACTTCAAGCACGCATCAGGCGCTTACTGGAGCAAATAGACGAAGAGCAGAAAGAACGAGATAAGGAGGTTGTAACTAGGGATGATGTGGAGAAGTCGCTGATAGCAACATGGCAGTATGTTAAGGACAAAGAACAACTTCTGGAAGGTGTGCTGTGAGTTGTGGAAGTTGCAGTTGACACCCTTGGGATTTAGTACTTCTTTTTGTATTTTAAATCAAGATTCAAGTTCCTTGTTGAAGCATAGAGCTTTTTGCCCCCAAATTAAGCTCTCTCAATGTGATATGAGACTGTAGAGAGTTTGTAAGTAAATCTGTTCTTTCCAAGTGATGTAGACCACTGTGCAAGTGCAGTGGCAAGTTATGAAAACCCAATGGCTCCAATGGAAGATTATGAGGGCAGCAAAAATTACCAGTTTTTATTGTTTAGAGCCCTGGCTATCATCCCTGTGATTCTCTGTGGGGCACACATGTGCATTTGGTTACATTTCATTGAGAACTGTTGGTTCTCCTTGGCAGAAGATCAAGCTGTTTTCAGCAATGATGGTGGCCCTTGATACTGCATGAGGCCATCGTGTTGTAATGTATTGTGGGGTAGAAGAAGCACTCTTCTTTCTCCAATCCCACTGAAAGTGCCTTTATTAAAGATTTTGATGAAGTAAGATTTACGAACTATCAGTTCAAGAAGCTGGTAATGAACCTGCCTTTTGTTATTCTGATTTTCATAGATCTGCGCTCCCAGATTGAAGAAATCAACCAAAAAATCTCAGTAAAGCAGAGTGAGAAAGATGATTGCTTGGAGTATAAAAATGTAGGAAGTAAAATAGAAGCTAAGAAGATTATGAGTCTGGAAAAAGACATTAAAGAAGTCAAAGATGATTTCCACAGAGCTACAGGTTGGTTTACAGCTGTAAACATTTTTGGTCAGTTACCAGCTGCAAACACTTGCTTTACAGCTGGTGTAAAGCAAATCTTAGAGGCTTTTTGTATATTACTTGTCCAAATCAATTAAATTATATATATAATTTGGGGTCATATTCTGATAATTTCTGTGAAGTTTTCCAAGACAGTGTACCTGAGGAGGGCTGCATAATTGTATAAAATGGAAAGCCTTTCCCTTCCCCTTTACATTCCCCTTTCCTTTTCCCTTTCCTTTCCCTTTCCCTTTACTTTCCCTTTTCCTTCTCCTTCCCCTTCCCCTTTCCCTTCCCTTTTCCTTTCCTTGCCTTGCCTTGCCTTGCCCCTTGCCTTGCCCCTTGCCTTTCCCTTTTTCTTTCTGCTTTCTTTTCTCCTTTCTCCTTTCCTCTTTCTCCTTTCCTCTTTCTCCTTTCTTCTTTCTCCTTTCCTCTTTCTCCTTTCCTTTCTCCTTTCCTTTCTCCCTCCCTTTCTCCCTCCCTTCCCTTTCCATTTCTTCCCTCTTCTCTCTTTTTTTTCCTCTTTTTTTATCTATTTCTCTCTTTCTTTCTCCCTCTCTCTCTGTGAAAGTCCCTTTATTAAAGAAACAAAGTCCCAGGAATTATGAACACTTCAAGAAACTGATCAGTTTGTCTCCTGACAACTTCCTTGTCAAATACAGGCAGCCCATTTCTAAAAACTGTTCCTGTGAAGGACAGCGGGTTTCTAAATATAAGTTACATCTATTGAGGTCACCTACACATAGGACTCCCTCAGCAGTCATGCTTGAAAACGTTGACTCTGCTGCTGTTGCTTCTTATCATGCTCCAAGTACTTCACATGTGGAAAACTCTTTTGATGGGAAAGTGCTATGAGCTCGTTCTTGGAAGTCTTTTCAGCTGAGCATGGTTGAAATGCACAAGTAGAGGGAGCTGTTGTGCCAGTGGGCTGAGCTTTGTATAGTCCCATGCATGAGGCCCTGCAAAACTGCCACTACAGACATACACAAATGCTGGGAACTGTTTCAACGCTGACACATCAGTGGAATGAACTTGAGAGCTTATGTATTCTGCTGTTGAGTGCTTCACAAAGGTTTCTTTACTACTGCACTATTTTAAAACCTTTTAAATAGTTTTGCTATTACATATCCCATGCTTCCAACACGACAAGGATGTCTTGGTTTTTCTCCTTTATGGCCCTCTCAGTATGCATAGCCACAGCCAAGCAGCTGGTAGTAACAGGCAGTGACACTGCTCTAAGGGTCTCTGTATATTCTGTGCCAACCATTACCAGGCATCAAGTACTGTGGATAAGAGCCAGATATCTTTTTTGTCTTTTGAAACATATTTGATCCCAGTTAAGACCTGCACTGTGCTTTCTACATCATCAGATAGCTTGTCAGATATCCATGTCTGTATTCAGGAGAGGTTGATATTTTTCATTATGTGTTTTCCATGCTCTGAATCAATCTAAAACTTTTCTATACAGCTGCTGAGCTATGAAATGAAAAAGAGAATGGGCTTTTATATAGAATGCCAGAATGAGCCAATAGGAACATTCTGTCTGACCTGCATGTCACAGGGTTCAATTTGTGGTCGAATGGAAGTGTATTTATAGAAAGACTGTTACAGAGGTACATATAGCAGTTGCCTAGTTAACATACTAAAGAATGATGCTGCCAGTACTGGATGTTAGCAGTCTATTTTACTCAGCTTCCTAAAATCTAACATACAAAGTGTCTGGAGAGTACAGTTTTCCAGCCTATCAAAAAGAAAACAAACCCAAACCCAAAGAGAAATAAATCTAACAAGCTGACAGAGTGATGCAGCAGCAAACTGGGCTTGTTCACTCCCTAAATGTGTAACAGGTTTATGGAATAAAATAAGCATAAGTGAAGAGGTTTCTATCTCTGTAGGGCTTGATGTTGGCACAGTTCATGTGGTCTGGTGATGACAGTTTAAATAAAATTGCTGGAGGGGAGAAGAAACGAAAAAGTGCCCTACACTTACGTGAGGTGTGGGGAGAACAGTGTTGCTGTGAGAATTAAGGCAAATAGCCTCCTTAAAAGCAGTAAGTATATGTGAAGAGTTCCTCCTTTTCTGCATTCTCCCAGCATAGCTCAGGTTGTTTAGCTGTGTGAAAGAATGAAAAGATGAATTAATAATAGTCTGTAAGTACTTTCATTTCATTCTGCCAAGTCTAGATGGCAGGTTGATTAAGGCAGGCCAGCTTTTACCATGTTAAATTAAGAACTAATGCACAACTAATGCACCTTTCATATTTGACAGCCTTTGACTCCACAGTGGGTCCATGACCATTTACAGCCAAGCCTGCAATAGGCTGTCTGCAACACAAGTGCAGAGCTAGGCTGAATTTCAAGCCTCTGGAACAAGTATGAAGTGCTTTCCTTCAAAGAAAACTACTACAATCTCATTCGCTCCTTCAAAAGGAGAAAACCCAAGCAGCAGGGGGCTGTTTTGCATAGCACAAAAACAACTGAAGGGAAGGATGCAATAATTAAATAGCAAGTGACTAGAGCTGGAAGCTAAACAAATTCAGCCTGGAGAAGGGAAGCTGTGTGGAAACCTCATAGCAGCCTTCCAGTATCTGAAGGGGGCCTACAAGGATGCTGGAGAGGGACTCTTCATCAGGGACTGTAGTGGTAGGACAAGGGGTGATGGGTTCAAACTTAAAACAGGGGAAGTTCAGGTTAGATATAAGGAAGAACTTCTTTACTGTGAGGGTGGTGAGGTGTGGAATGGGTTGCCCAGAGAAGCTGTGGCAGCCTCATCCCTGGCAGTGTTCAAGACAAGGTTGGACAGAGCCTTGGGGGACATTGTCTAGGATGAGGCATCCCTGTCCTTGGCAGGGGATTGGAACTGGATGATCTTAAGGTCCTTTGCAACCCAAACCATTCTATGTTTCTATGTGATGCTGGCTGATAAATTCCAGTTTATCTATTAAATGTCAATTATCTAGTTGTTAGGAGAAATGGATGTCAAATAATGATTTCTGATTTCCTTCTTTTGTTTGTTTTGAAGAATATTACAGAAATGCTTTGAAAGCAATGAAAGAAGAAAATACCAGACTGGTTTTGAAGCACATGGACTTGGTTAAGGAACAGGCCCCTGAGGTATTCCTTCTGCCTTTTTACAAGTGCTAACTGTATCATAGTTAGGATTCATGTACTCTGCATTAATAATTATTTTCACTTGAATTAAGACTTGGAACTTTTTCTAATAACTTGAGAGTAAAATAAATGTACATTTTCTTACCAGACATGACACTGGTTATTGTTATACACACATGTACTTTTGGTTTTACATCAGACTAACAATGAATAGATGTGAGGGCATTTTCCAAGCAAGGTATGGGAAACTGGGGAACCATGCACTGACTTCAATTGCTCAAGAGCAGGTCACTTTTGCTGTGACTTCAAACAACAATTAATACACTAAGAGATTGTCTGCATTGAAATATACATCAATTTGAAAAGTACTTTTAAACTTACTTTAAAACATTTAAAATGTCAAAATAGTGCAGTCTGCAGTAAAATTTAGGTTTATTGACACATATATATATGTGTGTATATATATATATTGAGTCATGTCAGCCAGCTGATTTGCAAAGTATTTATGGTGAGGTCTTCTTACACTCACAAAATGCAGAGTGTACTTCAATACAAATCATTGCTTGGGACCATGAGGTATTTAAATTCCCAGACTTCAGTGCTGGTATATGCAATCATGTGAGAATATAATCCAAAGGTCTGTGTTCATGGTGATCTACAGGAGATTTCCTCTCCCTAGTTGCTCCTTTCCACTTACTGACATCAGTAACTATATCCTTGGCTCATGAGCATGGACCTCTGCATGTTTAAGTCACTTGTCATATATCGGTTCCGATTAATTTGTGGTTTTGCTTGGGTTTTTTAATAGCTAAAGCTTTGATTTCCTGCAAACAGGAATATTTGGGCAGTAATGGGAACATAGCAGAACCTGTTACGTGAAAAGGGAATGTCCTATCTTAGTATGGGAAATTAAAATCTTGGTAAATTACTTGACATATAAACTGCACTAGTCAGGATGATGGAGAAGAAACATGTGGCCCTGGGGACTAAATCCCCTTGCGATCCCTCAGGGGATGCTACAGGCTGTTGTGTGGATGTTTCTTAGTTGTTTCCTGCTAAAGAGCAGAAGGTTCTGTATAGTCTGCAGCACTGTCAAAGTCCAGCTTTCAGATGAGATCTCAAATTGTGTTTCCTCAGAATGCTGTGAGATACTTAGACAAAGACAGCTGCAGAGAAATTGAAGAGAATAGCTGGCTAAAAGAAGAGGTAAGAGCATCACTTGTGTACAGTTGATCACGGTAGTTCAGTTTTGAAGCACCGTAGTCTACAGTCATAACTGGTTCCAGTGATGAGCCTCTGAAGACTTCCAAAGGAAAAGGAGAGCAATTTTCCTGTAATTACTCTGCAGTCCTGAGCAGCAAACAGTGTATGCGGTGAATAAAGGTAAAGATGAACATCTCTGTTCACCAATGAAAGAATCGTTTTCCTGCCCAAGCAGTTAAGTATTTGTATCTACAGAGATAGGAATACTCTGTAGTGTAAAGTCCCAGCCATCTAAGTATTTGGAGAGTGTACATTTGAATTGCATTAAGGTTCTGGGGTGCTGTATTGAAACAAGAAAGCTGGAGAGGGAATTTTTACAAGAGCCTGTAGAGATAGGACAAGGGGGAATGGCTTTAACCTGCCAGAGGGGAGGTCTTGATTAGACATCCAGATGCTCTTCCCTGTGATGTGGTGAGGTGCTGGTACAGGGTGCCCAGAGAAGCTGTGGCTGCCCCATCCCTGGCAGTGTTCAAGGCCAGGTTTGATGGAGCTTGGAGCAACCTGCTCTAGTTGAAGAGGTCCCTGTCTGTGGCAGGGGGTTGGAACTAGATGGTCTTTATGGGTTTTCTCTCCAAGCTCTGATGTGAAAGCAAGAAAGAAAAATGCAGAGCTTCTGTCTACCAGACCTATGTGGCTATATGAGAAGGTTTTGCTCTCAGGGTTGCAAAGCCCAAATGTGTGGCTCTGATTGACAGAGTTGTGCCAGTAAATGGCTCTAATAAAGGGGTGAAAGAACCAGAGATGCCTTCCCTTGCCTGAAAATGTGTCACTCTTTCTCAGCCTGTTATAGCAAAGTATGTGCTATTAAGATAGTCACTGTGAAATCTTTCCACAATGGGTATAGCCTTTCTAAGATGATCCTATTATTTTTGCTTTCATTGTCAAAAGGTTAAGCTGTACCAAAAGGAAGTGAGTGATTTGAAAGCCTCAATTCAACTCCTGGAAGAAGAAAATATCGCTCTAGTGGCAAAACTGGTTGATAGCAGACTTGAGTATCTAGGAGTACCCAGGTAAAATGAAGCCTTGACAGACTCAGAAGTGGTTCATCTTTTTAAAAGATAATGCTGCCTTCAACCTTTAAAGCTATTTGGGTTCTCCTACAGCAAAGCCAAGGTAGTTTTCTAGTTGAGGACAAGCAGGATTTGACTGGGTATGTGTGGGACTTGTTTCTCTAAAGAATGCCTGCGCCATTGTAACCTCCTCAATACCAAAATTCAGGGAAGAAACTGGGTTCTTTAATAATCTCTTAAGACCTAACGACACTTTCTTTTAGTGGGGCTTGGAAATAGTTTCTTTCTATTGTAATTGTCTCGGACCAAGTGCTGAGTAATAGATTTTCCCTTTTCTGTTGGCAAAATGTTTAAGGATATGAAGATTAATATACAAATAAATGCTGTTTTGCAATCTCAAATGAAATAGATGACCTGGTACTGAGTAAGGCAGAGGCTTTGGGATAGGTCTATCTGTAAAGGTGTCTGTAGTATTAGTTTATTTGTATTGAAATGATCTTGTTCCCTAGAGAAATATTAATTTAACCCCAGAATACCAACATGAATGGTATCAAAAGCACAGTGTAACAATGGGAATGATCCAACTCCATTTTCCATTCCCAGCCCAGTGATTTCAGCCATATTGCAGAGAAAGGTTCCAAGTCTTAGGAAGTGACCATTTTTCTCCCCTCTCCAAACTTTGGACTGCTTTTAAGTGACAGCTGCCAGCTGTGGTTTGAATCTTGGACTGACTGGAGACTATAACATTTGTTTTCTTTTAGTCTCATGGACATAGTTGAACTGAAGCACTAAGAATAAGAAAGAGCAGCTTTTTAGCCACTAAGCTACCTGGCTGCCTCCAGTGCATTTTTAAACAGTTGCGCTATTCTGCCTTTGTGGTTAAGCAACAAATGGCTTTGAGATAGGGTGTCCTCCCCCCAAAACATTGCACAGGACAATTCAGAAAGCCAATTCAGGCCTTTAATATGAGTTTTTCTTTATCTTTTAATTCCATAGGCATCTTGCAGCTGGCTTGCCACATGAGTTTCTTAAGGATGGAATGAAAGCAGTAGAGTATAGCAAGTACACAGGTAAAGCACATGCAGCTTCTAAGAACAGACAAGTTACTGAAGATTTATATGCTTTTTATTTATTATCAAACAGATGTTTGACAAGATGAACACTTGGTTTCCCACTTAACTGCAGGCACCACACCAATGATAGACTGTAGTTTGTGTTAAGAAGACAAACCCACAATCTACCTGTAATACAGTCTTAAAATTGAAATTGCTGTTTAAATTGTAGAATCTAGACCTGGCCTGTAATGTGGGTACAGGACTGGCCATCTTTTGAAGATATGATTCATATCTTAATCATAGAATCACAGACTCATCGAATCCCAGGTTAGAAGGGACCTCAAGAATCATCTGGTCCATCCTTTCTAGGCAAAGCATGACCCAGACTAGATGTCCCAGCACCATGTCCAGCTAAACCTTAGAAGTGTCCAACATTGGGGAATCCACCCCTTGCCCAGAGAGATTATTCCAATGGCTGATCATTCTTACTGAGATAAATTTTCCACTTGTGTTCAGTCAGAATCTCCCCAGGAGTAAGCTGTCCCCATCACCCCTAGTCTTTTCCATGTAACTCCTTGTGAAAAGGGGGCCTCTGTCTTTTTAGCCACCCTTTACATACTGGAACATGCTGGTAAGGTCTCCCCGAATCTTCTTTTCTCCAGGCTGAACAGCCCCAGCTCTCTCAGCCTTTCCTCATATAGCTTCCCAGTCCTTGGAACATATTCGTGGCCCTTCTCTGGACCCTCTCCAGTCTATTCTTTACTGATCCATGTCACCATAACTTCATTGTATCTTGTCCCTGAGAGGTTACTCTTGAACTCCTTTCATTTGCACTGTACATGCACTTTACATTCAGTCTGACACTGAGACACACTGGACTTAAATGCTAAATGAATCCCTAGCAACAGCAGATGAAGCTACACAGAGTTCAGCCTGAACTGAACATCCTGGTAAGCGGTACTCAATTTGGGTCAAATCTCCACTTATTCTGGTAGGTGTGCCCTAAAGAAGGATGTACCATTAGGCAAGAAGGACCATGTGAGTGTGTTTGTCTGTTTAGGGTGTTTTCTATGGATTCCTTAGTATCACGTTTTATTTTACATCTCTGTGTGAGTAGAAGAAAGAGGGGGGAAGAAAGGACACAAATCAAAGAGTTAAGCTGAAAAAACTGAAGCCATACACTTACGGATACATGAACAAGTCTGTTGAAGTTCTGACCAGTTCCAGCCATAGGTGGACCTTTCTGGAACTATCAGGCATCAGCAAACATGTTGACTAAGGCTTTTGAATTGGATATATGTTTATTTTGAGCAGTTCAGTTCTATTCCCTTTGCTAGACCCTTACAGTAGTTACTGGGAGAAGAAGGTTTTGTTCCAGTAACCTGGAGTCAAGTCCTTGTCCCAGGCAAACTCCACATTTGGCTTGGCTAGCCAATTAAAAGTCTTCCCAAGCTGTTCTTTGCATTGCACTGGCCAAGCCACATTAAGGATTGCAGGCAATGCTCACACCAAGTATTAATTCTGGTCTTCATAAAGCTTAACAATTCCATACACATCATTATTCTTCTCTTGAAACAGCAGAGGCAGATGGGGATGAAAGCCTCGGAAGTGCCACAGACTCCTGTCAGAAAACAAAATTCTTTCCAAAGATTCAGTCTACATCAGACACTGAGGAGCTCCAAGAGAGTGATGTGGAGGTACGGGAACAGCCACTCACTCCAACCCTGGGCAGCCTCTTTTATGAAGATGGAAAAGATTTCCAGGTATGAATTCAAGTAATTGAGTCTCTCACTGACACATCTTTCAGTACAGAGCATGAGTTACTGCCAGCAGGGTTCTATTCCCACTGGTGTTATGGCAGGAAAAACTCCCATCTCTTTTACCAAGTGTACAATTCAGATGCGTAACCATAGGCACATGCTGCTATTTGAGGTGGTAAGGACACTCCTTTTCCTTCATATGCTGGGCCAGAAGAGCATGGGTTCTGTGTCATACCAGCCAGCATCATATGAATGGTTTGGATACCTTAGGGCATTTCTGGTACCAAGACACACTGTTTTGGTGTCTTAGGAATCAGCATACATGAGTGTCAGGGTGAAATTCCCCCTAGAAAGAATTCTGGATGTCACCATTTGTGAATTGCACAGACTCATTCACTTCATTCATGGTCCTTCAAAATTTGTGTTGCATTAAAGGGTTAACAAGGAATGTATTACTTCAACAAAAAAACAGGATAAAGGTGTTCCTGGGTGCAGAATACAGGGGTTGAGAAAATAAAAAGGTACAGATTATATGTAAATAGGCAGAGAGATCTCCCAAGGCAGAGAGATCTTCCTTCAAAAGAAGTGATGGCACCTGCCTTGGGAGATCCTTTATCCCAGGCAGCAAAACAATGCTTCCTGGGTGCCTTTGATTCTATACTCGAGTTGTGAATCACAGAGTCCCAGACTGGTTTGGGTTGGAAGGAACCTTTTAGCTCATCCAGTTCCAACCCCCTGACACAGGCAGGGACACCTTCCACTAGATCAGGTTGCTCCAAGCCCTGTCCAACCTGGCCTTGAAGTGAACTGAAAACTTTGATACATTTCTAAATAAACTAAGTACTCTCAGAAAATACATTGCTCTACATCATAGATTTCTACTGTAGAGTAAAGCAGATGCTACAGACAGGGTGCAGACTGCAGGGTTTGCTGTATGAAGGTATTTCTCCAGGTTTCTTTACCCTTGAATATTCAATTCAAACTTACTCAGTGATGAGTTTAGGGGATTTTAAAGAAAAACAGAAAATCCCACAACTCTTTTCCTAGAAATCTGCCATTAGTTTGATTAATACCCTGCAACTTGTGTTCAGAGAAATGACCCTGTCGCCTTGATCAGAGACTAACTTAAGCAGTGGCTCTGTCCTGAAAAGTCATACAGAGAAATGAACAACATTTAACCAAAACAGATCTCCCCACGTTTGCTTCCTTGCTGGTGTCACCCTGGGAGATGAACACTTGCTTTACTTCTTTCTCCCTGCTGTTAGCACTGCAGAGCCCACCTCACATGAAGGCTGTAGGTGCTGCTGACAGTCATTCCCAGGAATGGAGGTATAATTGCAGACAGTGGAGGTGCATTAGCAAGTATTAAGAACCCATTCGTTAAGTAGAGGTGATTCAATAGTTGCACTGTAGCTTTCCTCCTTCCCCCTCCTGGCTTTGGCCATATGGTGCTGCTCCTGCCCTTAGGGAATCCATAGCGCACATTGGCCTTTCCTGTAGCTGATTCACTTACTAACCCAGCATCAAAACTTGCCTTTTCTTCTCCTCCTGAATTACTTTTCTGGTGGGTTAGTCAACCCAAGTGAGTCAGAGGTTTGGAGAAGACCAGCGCCTACACAGACGTGGTGGAAGCACGTGGCTGGACTTGGAGCTCTCTCTTTTGGCAGCAGTGAGCTGTTGGATTAGTATAATTCTTCCCACAGACCTGAACTTGAGACAGAATGTGCTTTGCAGAGAAAGGGATATAGGTGAAATCACACAGGGGAAGAGGAGGGCATTAGGGCTGCAGCCTCCTAAAATGACCTGGCTGGTAAACCAAGCCTGTTAACACAAACATTACCCAACATACAACCCCAGGGCAGCATCTTCACCATTGCTTTATAAAGGAAAATTACTGGTTTTTTTTTGAAGAAAGCTGCTTTTCCATGGAATTGCACAGGAATAATATTCTTTCTTCCTAAGGAACACTTAGAACTGGCTCCTCTGGAGACAAAGCTGATGTGTGTGATTGGAAAAGCTATGCCTATTCATGAACAAGCAGAAGAAATGCCAAGCAGAAGGGGCACAGAAGACGGCATGGGTCATAAATCAGACAGGCGCATCACAGCTCGGATGATCAGGGCTTTATCTAAAGAAAAGGTTGGTTAAGAACAGACAAGCTGTGCTGTTAACCTGGGACTGTAACATTCTCAGTTCATTAAATATTTGCTCTGTTCTTCAAGGAGCATGTGGCACTGGGCTTTGTGAGAACTCTTTTTGAGTGCCTGGATCATGATTTACAAGTTTAAGTTTAATGCAATGTATGTCTGCATGCAGATGGGCATGGAGAGGGTGCTTTCCTTACCAAAGAGAGAGCTCTTGCATATTTTATGGGCTTCTCAGTCATAGAATCACAGAACAGTTTGGGCTGGAAGGGACTTTAAAGCTCCATCCAGTTCCACAGGCAGAGATACCTTCCACTAGAGCAGGTGGCTCCAAGCCCCATCCAACCTGGCCAGGGATGAGGCAGCCACAGCTTCTCTGGCCAACCTGTGCCAGTGTCTCACCACAGTAAAGAATTTCTTCCTAATGTCTAATAGGAAATGTTCCTAATTTTCTTAATATATTCTTTGGAAATGTCTGATGAGTCCATGTAGCTGTACATACATCTAACAAAGGATTCAAGTTAATACTTAGTTTAAGTGGTCCCCCCCTTGCAGTCTGTCAAATGTGGAATGCCTGCTGGATAAGACCCTGAATGGGTAAATGCAGGCTGCCATAAAATGTACAACTGTTGCAAAATACTTCATACTCTGCTAAAGCCAAATCTAGTGTATCCAAGTATAATTCAACTACTGTTAGCAATTAAATGTTTTAACGCCTTTTATCTGTCTCCATAACTCCCTACTTAAATACATTGAAATAATAAAAAAATCAATTGAAAAAAAGCAGCATACAAATCATCAGAGTCTTAAATATATTTCAAAATTGGCCAAATATGCTGTCTAAGGCTGCCTTTGGTTTGTGGATGGTCTCTATGAAAACATAGTACTTGCAGCACTGTGTGCGGTTCTGGTGTCCTCAACATAAGAAGGACATGGAGCTGTTGGAGGAAGACCAGAGGAGGCCACGAGGATGATCAAGGGACTGGAGCACCTCCTGTAGAGGTTGAGAAGGATGGAGAAAGGAGACAGGCTGAGAAAGATGGGGCTGTTCAGCCTGGAGAAGAGAAGGCTGCATGGAGACCTCATAGAAGCCTTCCAGTATCTGAAGGGGACCTATAGGGATGCTGGGGAGGGACTCTTCATTAGGGGCTGTAGTGATAGGACAAGGGGTGATTGGTACAAACTTAAACAGGGGAAGTTAAGGTTAGATATAAGTTCTTTACTGTGAGGGTGACGAGGCACTGGAATGGGTTGCCCAAGGAAGTTGTGAATGCTCCATCCCTGGCAGTGTTCAAGGCCAGGTTGGACAGAGCCTTGGGTGACGTGGTCTAGTGGGAGGCATCCCTGCCCATGGCAGGGGGCTGGAACTGGACGATCTTAAGGTCCTTTCCAACCCAAACTATGCTGTGATTCTATGATCTCAGTGCATTGATTTGGTGGTTTTTTTCCACTCTCATTGCACATCCTGGACACCCTGCAGGCAGACACAATGCAGTGTGTCCTGTGTCCCACAGGCACAGGCTGTCTGCGCATTTCCCACTTACAAACTTGTGAAAGCATTGAGCAACCTGATTTAAACCCTTGATGGCTCAACCAGCTGTTAGGAATCAAGTGTCTGAAAAACTTCAACATTTTAAACAACCTGCATCTGTCCCCTGTCTCAGTGTAGTCTCTAGTTCAGCACAAACCTTTCTGGTTTCTGAAGCAATCTCATGCCCAGCAGGCATCTGCATGAGACACTGACTTCAGCTACTCAGACACCAGGCTCACAACCAGACAGGTACAGGAAGGAGCCTTAACCTCAGACTGAATCTCTTGTTCATTGCCATGTAGTAAACAGTTAAATGCGTTTGGACAAGTCCCTGCTGTAACCCAGCTGAGTTACTGCAAGCGAGGTGATCTTAGGGCTCCAGTGGCCAGAGAATGGGGATGCCTGTGTGCAAGGGGGTCATGTTTTAAGCACAACAGACACCCCCCGGCAGCCACACTGGCTTTCTTGAAGTGCAAGCCCCAGGAAATGGCTTCCTTGAAAGAGAGATTAGTTCTGCTCAGTGCTTAGTTCAGTTTTTGGTTTAGTTGTAGAAATAGAATATGGCTTATGCTGAACAGCTTTTCAGTCAAAGAAAGGCCTGTCCTCCTCCCCCCACTCCCCAAAAGGCAGTAGGGAGATTTAGATGAGATATAAGGAAGTTCTTCCCTGTGACGGGGGTGAGGCACTGCACCATTCCATGATCCCCTGCAGCTCCTACCTGCATGACCAGACCAGAAAGTGATGGGATCTAATTGCTTGACCCTACAGGGAAGTTGCTCAGGGGGTTCAAACCAGTGCTGTGCTGGGGTAATCAGGAACCTGGCTCACTTGAGGGGGTGCAGCCGTGTAGGACACACCACCCCACCATGCTTTGTAGGCATTTGATGGGTTGATGTTTCTCAGTTCCATCACAAGGTCTTCAGTTCTTTTACTACCATACATACACAACTTGGGTGATGCTCATATTTCCTTAACTTTAAACTAAAGGTATTTCATAACACAGGATTTAAGGGTGACCCCTGTAGGTTTTGTTCTAACTGCAGTAGTGAGCCCTCACTCCCATTGTTTGAACAGGAGGTGGAAGCATGGGCTGTACTGCCACAGTGTACTGCCATTAGCCTCTGCTTTACATGTTGCTCATTGCTGAGAGCTTTTGCCAGTAACAAATTCATCAAATCCAGATGTCTCAGTGGCTGAAGACACAGCTTTCCCCATATGAAAGACTTACACTGGCCTTCATGCTGATCCTGTAGGAATCAAGGGGATTTGGGACACTTCACTAAGCATGTTTTGCTACAGGCTGCTCCCTCTGGCTCATGCAACTGCCTGTGGCTTATACCCAAATTAGTGTGCCTCACATTTCTTTTTAACTCCCTCTCAGCCACCCAGGCCTCTTATGGGAAAAGGCTGAACAGCAATTCGAAGAGGTGAAGGTACAAATTTATGTTGTCCTGCCTGTAGGCATTACAGGCATAAGCAAAGAGATGGGCCCTACATACACTAGAAAATGTAAATCATAGAATCTCAAGCTGCTTCGGGTTGGAAGGAACCTTAAAGCTCATCCAGCTCCTTCCAATCCCCTGCCATGGGCAGGGACAACTTCCACTAGAGCAGCTTGCTCCAAGCCTGGCCTTGAACACTGACGGGGATGGGGCAGCCACAGCTTCTCTGGGCATCCTGTGCCAGCGCCTCAGCACCCTCACAGGGGAGAACTTCTGCCTAAGAGCTCATCTCAATCTCCCCTCTATCAGATTAAAACCATTCTCCCTTGTCCTGTCCCTACAGGCCCTTGTCCAAAGCCCCTCTCCAAGTTTCTTGTTGGCCCCTTCAGGCACTAGGAGCTGCTCTAAGGTCTCCCCGAAGCCTTCTCTTCTCCAGGCTGAACAATGCTGGATACTTAACTTTTGGTCTGGTTGTTGAGAGGTTTGCAGCCTCCACCACAGCCAGGTTATACAACAAGACAAATGTTCCACAGGCTCAGACCTGCATGTTTTGGGAAATGAGGGTAGGAGACTTGTTCTGCAGCATTTGTTCTTGTTTGGCTGCTTTCTGAGAGACAAGTTACTAAATACTCTGCTCCTGTGGGCTGAAAGGAGTTTGCCAGAATAATGTCAAGGCAGAAGGTAATGGACTGTAAAGCTACACTGCAGTGACAAGCAAGGAACAGGGAATCTGATGGTGTTAGTGCCACAAACCACTGATGTTTTGTAACTGGATGTTCCTCTGAAAACGACTTGCCCTTGGAGTTTAAGTGGACTGTAAAAGCACGGATGTTTCTCTGTAATACAACACTTCAGAGCTTGTGTTTGGTAGACTACCCCAAACACAGTGTTGTTTTAGGACATGACATGGTAACAAGATGCCAACAACCGTTCCCATATCAAGGCCAGGTTGGACTGGGCTTGGAGCAAGCTGCTCTAGTGGAAGGTGTCCCTGCCCGTGACAGGGGGTTGGAACTTGATGAGCTTTAAGGTCCCTTCCAACCCAAACCATTCTATGATGCTTTATTGTCCACCACCCATCTCCAATGAGCCATGGAAAACTGGGACTTGACACGGTACTGGATCTTTTCCTCACTTTTAGTGATTAAAGTGCAGCAAGAGGCTATAAAAGCCAATAAACAAATATAAAGCAATATCAAATAATGCTTTTGTAGAAAAACAGGACTTGAGCACTTGCTGTAGCTGGTGGTAGAAAGTTGAGCAGTTACCACCCAGATCCACACTGTGAAAACAAACCCAAGACCCCGCTCTCCTCCCACACTGCAGCTGCCGAATACCCAGAGCCACGTGCTTGCATCCAACAGCTTTTCAGCACCGTTATCAGCTCTCACACAGGACTTGTAAGGGAGCCAGCTGGTTGTTCCAAGGCTTTTGATCTTTGTCTCAGGAAGTGTCCTCAGCAGATAAACAAGAATAGAAACAAGAAACATGTTTTACTCAACTCATCGACTGATTTGGACTCAATGATCTTAAAGGTCTCTTCCAACCTAGTTGATTCTATGATTTGTTATCTTGAGCAAGACATCTCCCAAGACATCCCACAGGTGAGATGGATGTGGTATTTATCCAGCCTTCAGATACAACAGGGTGCCAAGCGGGTGTCATTAATGTTGCACCTCCAGGGAAACCTGCTGTATGTTCTCTCCTCCCTCACTCTGATCTGGCCAGCTCAGAGCCTGTTCCTGTTTGAACATGGAAGCTCACAGGTATTTCTTGGTGGGCAAATTCAGCAAGAGATATCAAGACTTTCTGCTCTCTCTGCCTCAGCACAAGCGAGCTGCAAAGATCAAGACCAAAGGTTGCCAACAGGCCAAAGAGAAAGCTCTTGGGTGGTTTACACACGCTCCCATTGATGCTTTGTCTTTGTTTTCTGCATTTGGCACATTACTTCACTACCCCTCACATTGTCTTGTTAATCTTCCACCTCCATCAGCATTTACTCTTGCTGAAGGGCTTTTCAGC